TCCATCACCCAGCCCTGTCCCCTCATGACTGAGCTCCAGTCTATCGCCCGGCCCTTGTCCCCTCATGACTGAGCTCCAGTCCATCACCTGGCCCTTGGCCCCTCATGACTGAGCTCCAGTCCATTGCCCAGCTCTGTCCCCTTGTGACTGAGCTCCAGTCCATTGCCCAGCTCTGTCCCCTTGTGACTGAGCTCCAGTCCATTGCCCAGCTCTGTCCCCTTGTGGCTGAGCTCCAGTCCATTGCCCAGCTCTGTCCCCTTGTGACTGAGCTCCAGTCCATTGCCCAGCCCCTTGTCCCCTTGTGGCTGAGCTCCAGTCCATTGCCCAGCTCTGTCCCCTTGTGGCTGAGCTCCAGTACATCGCCTGGCCCTTGTCTCCTCATGACTGAGTTTTATTGGTTTGGACAGCACACCATCTATTAGGTTACAAACAATAGAGGTTTTTTACTGAGGTTCTTACTGTGTAAGAATCATTTCTCTCTACCATTTGTTATTTTGTGGTCTTGGAATCAGACTGGCAAAGGATGTTTAGAGCATGTTCTGGTAATGTTTGGAAAGGAAGGAAAGAAGGCACCCAAGGTTGGGGTTGAGGGCAGGGATGTGATGGAAGGAAAGGATAAACCTAGGTCTTAAAAAACTAGGGAAGTCAAGTTCATGGGCTATTTTGTAGAAATTGCTTTTATTAAATATTGAGTAAACGCAGGAATTCATTTATAAAATACAAGTTAAGAGAAAGACTATCACCATTACCTGTGAAGACCCTGATCTGCCCCTTTCTGATCTCCTACCCCTCCCCCTCAAAGGCAGGGATGCACCTTTTACACTGAATTTATCCTGGGATGATCATCGTTGCTGATGTATAGTATTGAAAAGTCATGTAGATTTATTTAGGAAATTTCTATTTGTGGAAAATACATCAATAACATGACAGAGAAAAGTTTTAAAACTTTATTAATTTGGGCTATCCATAGAGATATCCACTATTATTATTATTAGATCACACATACCGTCTTTTCTCTTCATGTTGCAGGGGAGGTGGAGAGGTGAGTGTTCTGTGTAATTAAGAACTGTACAGATTGACAATTGTATTATACAACTTATAAAACCTTTTTCTATCGACTTGATGTACCATGCACATATTTTTCATTTCATTAATTCCTATTTTATAGTTCCTAGGCCCTTTTTCTTATTCCAGGTTCTGAGTTACTTGGAAAAAGTTGAGGGAGAAAAAAATGAGACTATGTAGAGATTGTCTCATAAGCCATTTCTGCTGTGAACCTGATAAGAATAAATCTTGTAAATCTTGCCAGCTTTCTTGAAGTCATAATGAAAGCAACAGTGTGCAGTTCCAGCATGAGCCATATAACTGAGGCATTGTAAGACTTTTATGGCAACTTTTTCTACTTTCCGTCCTCTGCCTATCTGCCTCAAAGGGGGCTGTGCATATAAAGTGATAAGAGATTTTCTTGAAATTCTAGAAAACAGCATGATGCAGACACATCTGTTTTCACACACACACGCACACGCACACACACGCGCACGCACACACACACACACACCACCTTGCTTTTTACTATAGAACCAACACTCCTGTCTTTGCGGAGTGGCTGAGTGACTACATATTACACTCAGGTTCTGGAACAGATGCTGTGCTGATGGGTCTCAGAGAGGAAGCCAGAAGAAGGCAGACATTCCTGGGCATCATGCAAGCGAGCCAGCTGTTTCCTAGGTCATTTTGGAGACGTCCTCTACGGAAGAATTCACGTCTCTGTTTTCTTTCCTCCTTTTTGACGATGTTCTGCAACGAGAGGAATGAGATGAGCCTTGGAATGTAAAAGCTTTCTACCTGGGAGGCTGTGGCAGCCTGGCCCGTCTCTGCAGAGCCCCGGGACAAGGGCTCCGGAGATCTGCTTCCCTCACTTTGACGACTCGCTTGCCGGAGGAAACTTGTTATAAATGCAGAGAATTGCAGACCTGGCCGCGGTGTGGTGCCCTATCTCTGTGGGAGACACACTGACCTCGTGTGAAAGGACCCTTGTCTCTGAACTGCAGCCCCGTGAGGCTGCTGACAGTGCGGGTGGTACGGAGAAGCTGCATCCTGCAGACTACACGTGTGATAGAACCTTGTGGAACTGCTCGGTGGATTATAAAACTTCTCCTGTTTACTCTGCGTGTCCCTCAGCAAGGCATACTACGTGGGGTCGTACCTTAAATGTGGTGATTGTCCACAGTGATGGCAGCACCTGTATGTTTAAGAAATGATTTCCCTATGGCTTAGTGACGACTGAGGAGCTGAAGTGAGATTGCTGCTCACTGCAGGGATGTGCCTCTCCGATTAATACATTTTCAGGGTCATTAATTAGGTAATTGGAAAAAGAAAACTATCTGCAGGCACAGAAGTGCATTCTCCTTTGCCTTACTGTTGGGCTGGGAGTCTCAGGAAGTCCCCCTGAAGTCCAAGGACAAGGTGGAATCAATAGAATCCACCCTCCATCTCCTTCTCTCTTGGTGGCTGGAAGTAGAAGACGTCTTTCTGCTTCCATGACCCCCTGCTTTCCC